ATTACATGAAATACGTCTAGGTTCTGAACAAGGAGAGTCGCCGAAAAGCGAGCCATCTAACCACAGAAACAAGAGCCATAATAGCAAAAACAGCAACAACAGCTTATACCAACCTTGCATCAACTCAACCAGGGCAGTTCGTCAAAATATACACATTTATATATATATATATATATATATATTTGCATGGCGGATAGGGGTTAGTCGCGGACCGAAAACGACGCTTGCTTTCCTGGAACTCAGGTGGATCCAGGAGATGGACTCCGTTTCTGCTGCGACGATTTTGCACATACTTTATGTATTTACAAGGCGTATTCATGTATACATGTGTGGGTGCTTTCTTGCTTATGCGGATTGCATTCTACGAGTCAATTCGGCCAAAAGCCTGCAATCAAGTGACAGGGAAGTATATGGGAGGCGGTTAGGAGTCACCTCCGATAAATAAGCGCCATGTCAACTCTGGGAGAGTAACCTATTAGTATACTAGTCCTCATGTTTAGAGCTCAGCAAGCTATACTTGAGTAATAAAAAGTTGAAACAGTGAAACAAACGGACTTCGCCCTCTCGACTCTCGACGAAGGAGCCTCCAATTCGGAAGTGTTGGGTAGGACGAGCACGGGGGAGCTGCTGAAACCCCAGGGCCAGTGGAAGCTGTTTGGATTGCAAGGAACTAAAGTGACGACCAGTACCTGAAAAGCATGTTCACTTTCATCCATGCCCTCGATAGAAGACTTGCTCATGTAAGCAAGAAGAATGAGGTACGACGTCATCGGCTTGGCCGAGACGAGACGACCCCACCCACGACCTCAACCCTGTCTCTGACACCGGAGAAGAACTGTTTCATGGAACATGCGACAAAAAAGGAGTCGGCGGCGTCGGAATTCTCGCCAATACGAATTTGTTCATAAACATCAATTCAATCGAACGGCTTACAATTCGAATTAGATGTTTCCGATTAATAAGATGTGGATCAATGCCAACTTTGACAATCTTCGTCGTTTACGCGCCGACATCAAACTATGAAAAAGAAGAAGTCGAAGCGTTCTATATGGACTTGGAGAGGTTCCACAGAGAACACCACACATTCTTCAAGGTCTTCGTCAGAGATTTCAATGCCAAGATTGGACGAAGAAAAACGTCTGAAAAACGTCACATTGAGACCCAGGGATTGTAATGGAACGAACACGGTGATCGGCTTTCTGAGTTTATCACGAAGACCTGGACCATCCATGGTAAGTCGCAATTCCAAAGGTCCAACCTGCGGCGCTGGACGTAGAACTCTCCCAGTGGAAAGCACCATAACGAAATAGACCACATCAAAGTAAGTAGAAGGATTTGCCTAACCGATATCACTGCTGTCCTAAAATTCTACACGGGAGCAGACCATCGTCTCTTTCGTGCAAGATTCTATTCCTCGAGAAAAGGAGAAAATCCACTAAATTCAAAAACCGAAGTCCCAGAACCACCATAAACTGGGACTTTTTCAACTCATTAGTCGGTTGTTGCGAAGATGCCGTTGTCAATACCAGCGAGGAAGAATGTGATTGGCTTATTCAACATCTTCACGTTAGCGCTGTGAAAACTGAAAGGTCGAAAGTCACTAAGAGACGTTTGTCTCCAGAAACACTCGGGCTGATACGCCTGCGTGGAATCGCATGAGCTGCGGGCAACCGCTAACTAACGTCTGAACTTGCAAAACAATATGGGCAGGCGATAAAAGAAGATCTAAAAGAGGAAAAAGCAACAGTAATGGTCAAAGCTGCAGAGGCTAGGAAAAGTATTTGCAAAGTCCACCGAAGCTTCGCCAATTACAAAACCAAGATAACTGCACTCCGACGCCCAGAAGGAACAGTTACAGAGTCCAGAAAGGCAATGAAGAAAATCTTGCACCAATACTACTCAGATCTTCTCGATAGCCACGTCCACTTTCTGTCCACATGAAATAAAGGAGGATGGATATGTTGTACCACCGGTTCTCCCTTCCGAAATCCAACATGTCCTTTCGTCGGTGAAAAAACGAATAGCATCAGGTCCGAACAGTATAAGACAGGATCACCTGAAGAACCATCCACCAGTCCTCATAAACAGACTCGCTCGGCTCTTGACACATTACCCGACTGAATGCCAGGTTCCTACTCAACAGAAAACCAGCGAGGCGGTGCTGTTGTTAAGGGAGGGTGCTCTCCACGGAATCGGCAACTGTCGTCTGATGACCTACACGGTATCTGCAACTATCGCCCAATCTACTTGCTTCCTGTCGTCTACAAACTTTTCGCTCGAGTCATCCTAGCAGGATTGATAGAACACTGGACGAAGGACAACCATGTGAGCAAGCAGGGTTTCGAAAATGATTAAATACGATGGACCACATCCGCGCAATAACAAAACTCAGTGAAGTATCGCTAGAGTACAAAACACCGCTTTGTTTTATTTTCATCGATTTAAAGGAAACCAATGACTTAACTGAGATAGAAGCAGTCATACAAGCCCATGACAGTCAAAGAGCTCCAACTTAGTGCATAGTGATTCTTCGTGAGCTGTACAAAAATTACAACCAAAATATCAGCATTCTACAACGATATTAACATTGACGTCAAAGGAGGACTTAGACAAGGAGATACTATCTCGTCAAAATTACTTACCGCCACACTCAAGAACGTCATGCGAACATTGGAATGGGGTAACATGCGAGTGAAAATCGATGGTCGGCAGTTACACCATCCTAGCTTTGCTGATGATATCGTCTTTATAACATCATGCATTAGCCAAGCGGAACGTATGCTTGACGACTTTGATAAAGCCTGTGGAAGGATTGGTCTTCGACTAAATCTCACAGAAACGATGTTCATAAAGAACAGATTGGTTGCGTATGCCCATTCACGCTCGACGGAACGAAACTCTCCGAATTCTCCAGTTATGTCTATCCAGGTAGGGAAATCAATATGATGAACGAGTCAGCTCCAGAGCTGAGCAGAAGGAAACGAGTGGCCTGCGGAGCTTTCAAGAGCACCGAGGATGTAGTGGAGAGGACAAAGAACACCCGACTCCGTGCCCACGTTTTCTATTCAACGGTACTTCCTGCTCTAGCGTATGCGTCAAAAACCTGGCCGCTGCTTAAGCAGGATGGAAGATCACTCAGCGTTATCGAACGTGCAATCGAAAGCACGATGCTAGAAGTATCCCGTTCCACACAAGTAAGGGATGGGATCCGATGCTCCGACCTGCGTCAACGATCAAAAATCAAAGATGCCGTTCTGTACGCCAAACAGTCGAAGATAAGGTGGGCCGGACACGTAATGCGTATGAATGACAACCGATGAACAAGAGCCGTTAGTGAATGGATTCCTCGGGATGTCAAACTTACTGCAATGAGACCACCGACCCGATGTTCAGAGTTCTTCACAAAAAGCCTTGAAGAAAGATACGATGCTCGACGAGTCCCTAGAGAAAGCCGAACCCACTGGGCTACGCTTGCACGCGACTGTGAAAAATGGAAGATTTACTGGCGCCCGCTCGAGTCACTCGACGATCAACGGGGCTACAGCTGATAATACGGATGATATATATATATATATATATATATATATATATATGTTTTAATGTTTTTCTTCAATAAGCAGACTCGAGGTTGTTAATATACAGTTTATTATAGTACAATAGCTGACGTTTCGGCGGTTTCGCCTTCTTCAGAGCCGTTTATATGTTGTATTTAAGTTAGTTGATGGATAGCCACCACACAGAGTAATACATGGGCGATAACTCTGCATTATCAATTAATGCCGGGGTTAACAGAAATTCGGTCTTGGGAATATATATGTTTCCTTAGACAGTTGGACGAGCACTTCCCACTAGTTGTGCAGGCTTCAGCATACACTACACTTTTCGAAGTTTTGCAGGTTTAGACACTGTGTCTCCCGGGAGTCCCGTGGTCACCTTGGCTAAAGTCTGCCCATATCTTCGCCACCACTGGCAGTCGCCATCCTTCTTTCAGAGGCGGATTTGTCAATATGCGACTAGTTTCATACCAAAACGGTGGTGGCTCCTGGTATAGGTTTACTCTTAGCTAGGCTTCTTGATGGAAACGCCGGCTTCCTCAGCTTGGAAACCTTGGCAGGGGATGAATCCTCCGCTGTACATCGCAGTCCGACGCTCAGAAACACCTTTCAACTACGATGAGGCCATAAACCGTTGGAAGGAATATATATGTACTTGCGTCGCTTTGTTGTTCAACAATCGCTGGGCACACAACACGACAGTAGCTGACGTATCACCAGCTTCTCCTTCTTTAGAAGCTTCCTTAACACACACATATATATATATATATATATATATACATATATATATATATATGCACATTGCACATATGCACGTGGATTATTTTGGATTATTTACACCGAAGTTTACAGACAGTTAATTTTTTGAATCTACTGATGTGAGTATAATATCGATTAATTTTATTCTCCACCATTAATATAGACAGACGATGCATTTCGGTTGATAATACTTACTTGACATGATAGTTAAGCGATTCGCCCTCATCAGTGGTGCTGGTGCCACTATAATCACCATTTTTCGGAGATTTGCTGGTTAGGCCATTGTGGTCCCCTAGAATCCCGAGGCCAGTCTGGCCAAAGTCCGCCTCAGGTCTTTACCACCAGTCGTAGCCCTGGTGAATCAGAGAAAAATTTGTCACCGTGCGACGTTGGTAACAGGACGATGGTGGACCCTAGTATTGGTTTACTGGTAGCTAGGCTTGCTGGTAGAATCGCCGGACTCCTCAGCTTGGGAGACTCTGCCAGGGGTTGAATCTTCCGTTGTACATCGCAGTCCGATACCCAGGAACACCTAGCTACGATGAATCGGTAAACCGTTGGAAGGATTCATAGCTTATTATAGCAAAAAAAACAGGTGCTTGTTTTCTGAAAAGAAGTTCAATTTACTGTATGAATACTTAAACGGCAGCAAGTCCAGAAAAATTGAAGGTGCCAATAAACGATGAAATGCAAATCGATGATAAGATTTGGGGATGCAAAAGAGGAACAGATGGAAGAGTTCAATTTGGACCAAAAGTGGTCAACTCGGAGTCATGTGGTGATCACGAATACGGTAAGCAAACCAGTCGTTCATTATTAAATTACATGTGGAGAAATTTATTTTGCGTTCTTTTCCTGTTAAATAATAGGGAAAAATGACAATGACGATTTCTGAAAATCTTGAGATAATTTTAACTTATTAATCACTGCCCACTCTTGTTATTACAACTACAGCTTCAGATTAACTGGGTTAATTGCCGATTAGGTCTTCCCAGGTCAATGCCGTTGGCGGGTGATCGCTGATGGCACTGATCGATAGATCTAGTTGAAAGACAGATAGAACAAAGGACCAGCATAGTGTTGTGGTGAACGCGTTAGCCCCCAGGAAAGTGTAATAGCGTTTCCGTTCCTCACGGCAGACACTTAAAGTTCGAAGTTTTGCAAATATGTCGGCATCATTGAAATGCTGAGACAGTTTGATTTTTTGTGTGGAGCAACAAAGCGTAGTGGTTTCTTTCGCCTAAAGTCGTGGAATCGCCGATTCCTTGAGCAAACGGTTTTTTGCGAAGAATGCTGGCGTTCTTAGCGGCTCTGTCATTTCTCTGACAATTTGTTGGGTGGGCAAGACATATTTTCTTTTGAGCATCAAATGCCTGCTGATTTCTTCCTATGTTATCACCACGCCCCATAGAGCATCTATGTCCTTATCAAGACAGAATTCATTCCTACCAGAGATTCACTTACAGATGGATTTCTGAATGAAAAAATATGATTTGTTCCCCGTTTCGGTGACCACATTAACGGGACAAAAGCCACCGTGTGCCGAAGTTCAACACCCAGGAGCGCATCCTACCCTAGCCTTAAGGTGGTCAACATCTAGCAGACACGAGGTTCATTTTACAAGATTTACTAACAAGAGCACACAACGCAGCAGTAGCTGATGTTCCGGCGCTTTCGCTTTCTTCAGAGCCTGGGATGTTCAAAGTGACTCACAATTTCCTTAGTTAAACATTTCCACATGCTCAGCAGTGCATGAATTTTCGTACATAGTAAACAACTTTTTCTTAAGCACAACTCTTCATGTTCTTTGTAGGTCTTCCAATTATTTGATGGAGACCAGTCACATGGAATCTTATATGGCATGGGCAAGTGACTGGCTCAGGTTAAAAAATTAGGCTGAGAGCGAAATCACCCGTGATCACACATCACTCCTCCTTCTGGTCCATCTTTGGATTAATGGAAATTATCCGAAAAGCTCCACGAGTTCTGCACCTTCATGCTTCAGATTCCTGTGCGGAGGTAGTGACTTGCACTTCGAAATCTTTTTCTGTGTACTATACACCTCTAGTTGAGTGCTTTGTTTCACCTCACGCATAACAATTAGTTGCTCTATTATGCTGAAGCAGGGTGGTCTACCAGTCTTGCCAATGTGTAATAGTCCCCAAAGGTCTTACAAGAAAACAGGTACACCGCACCCGAACTCATGCAATGATCTATCGTTAGGTCATATTGTGCGATTCTACTTTGTGCATAGCATCTCACATTAAAATGTCAGTCTTGAAAACTATGCGAGATCATGCGTGATAGTGACGTATCCTACTTGGGGCTAATTTGTGGTTTCTTGAGATTTATCCAGAATGCCTCGAAAGTTTTGCGCGCAAGCATTACTGATACCTGTGTGAGGATGTAAGCATCCGCTTTAAAGTCTTCTGTTATGTTTTTGCGTTCTATACGAGCCTAGTGGATTATTTGTTTCCACTCTGAGTTTACTCACCGACGACGTGTTCCTTCATACAGACGCAAAAGGTTCCACCTTTTTCGTTAATGCATTCGTCCCCGCAGGTCTTGAAAAAGAACAGAAAACTGTATCTGAACTCATACAATCATCGTCCATACTGTTAGAGCATGCTATGCAATTTTGCTTTGTACACGCACGATCATGCAAGTGTTTGTCAACTAGGTGGCGTCTAAGAGTGCGCAGAGGTATTTCAATCACTGCTACCGAATTCTCTACACCGGCTTTTTTAGAAACGTTTCACAGCTGCATCGATTTCGTTAAGCATAAAAGGCAGGATGAACGAGACCTTATTTTCGTTAGAATTTCACATTGATGACTTTTTATTTACTGTCTTTTACAAGTTTTCATGGCAGGGTACTATTTGTGGAACAACCACAATGATGCTGAGATATATGCAAAACTCGTGATCGCAGGTGTCTGCTATTTTTATTTCAAAACATTTTTCTCACATATTTTTTAGAAACTCTCTTTTTGAGTGTAAAGGAGCGAAAGGAGAGGTCGTGAACCAGTGTGTTTTTTCATTTCGCTTTTATTTTCACTTGGTGATGTAGTCGCTTCTCGATAGCTTAGTTATAGAATGAACGGGAAAAAGCTCCAGCTAAAAAAGCGGGGCATGCGAGTGCATGGGCTTTCTGGAAGATTGTAATATTTGGTCGAACATGTGCCATGTTTGCCGTATCTGCATCGTCGTAATGGTGCTCACTGATGTGCGATCAACGTTGATGCACAATAATGCATGTCTCTGTGCTCGACGGCTTTTGAAGACGAGAAGACGAAGAGTTTTAAGTCTACAACCTTCATGAACAATGGTATAGCAAATTAACTTAAGCAACTGCCGCTTTCCAAAGGCAAATTTGATTTCAAGAGAGCAAATTTTAATCCAATCCACGTTAAGCAGCCAAATGTGTTGCCCATCGCCCAAGATTTTCATATTCATGCGATGGCTTTCTCCTTTAGTCTGCTTGTCGAACAAGAAAGAGCAGTTTCTGTTTACAGCTAGAATAAAGTTTAAAAATAACAGCGCTGTTTTTACCACTTAGTATTAATTAATTAGTGATAGAGAATGATAGGGTTTATAGAAAGCCGAACAAAAAACCCCTTGTGAAACACTTTTATAAACAAAAGCCCAGGAGTACATGAGAGTTTCTCATAAAACTGAAACGATATTGGTTTCCTATTTCGATCAAATCGACGACTTCACTGTGTAGATAATGAGATGTTGTTGTGGATGATACTGGACGTTTTTTGACTGACTTGCTGTGTTTCAGTGAGAACGAAACCAAAAAGTCAAGCGTGTTTTCTTTCAGGTTCCGAATGGGATGAAGGTGCATACCGCTATAAATGTGGTGAAGGAAACGTGAAGGAGTTTGTTGGTTGCATAGGAGCTGGACAGTTCGTTCCAAATGGTGAAATTAAGAAAGTAAGTTTATTGCAGGTGATCTGATGAAGTTGAGAAAAGAATCCTGTATTTTACAACTTTTTGGAAAAAAGTCTCTTGTGCTTTTTATTTTTATCAATGCATATGTTTAGCATTTATTTGTCTCGCATAGATATCCGACTTCTTTATCGAATGCAAGAAACATGAGAACGGTACCATAACGCTACTTGTGGCCCCTGATACGGAGTGCAAAGATGGTAGAGGACATAAAGTAGAGGAAGGTAACCTCTAAAAAATTTCTCTATGGTCCTAGTTCATAATTCCAATAGCCGTTCAAGAACTCAGGTAGTGAACTGGTTATTAATGGTGGATTCGTTTGTTAATTCACGGTCATAATGTTCGACATCTTGAACACTTCACTACGAGATAACGAGATGGTGATGTGAAAGACAGTAGCTATTTTCTAACTGACTCTCTGTGTTGTAAAGAAAAAAAATAAAAGATGAAATGTCTTTTCTTTTAGGGGATGAATGGGTAGATGGATCACTGATGTTTACCTGTGGTAAAGGCGGTAAAAAGAAGTTCATGGGTTGTTATACATCGTCTGGTGATTTCGTTCCCAACGGGAAGACGCAATCGGTAAGTAGGTGATTTCGCATTATGACAAGGAACTTTATTTTCGATTATTCTGTTTATAATGGAAGAATCTGTCAATTTCTTTCGCATAGGTAAACGGTTTTGATTTTGAATGTAAGCAACATGTAAACGGTACCATAGAGATGCAGAGACTCGGTAGATCTATTGGTGTGAAATGCAAAGATGATGGAGGATTTGAGAGAGATCAAGGTAACCTTTCAGTAATTTTTTTATGGTTCTAATTTTTTTGCCTGTACAGCAGCTTGGACAGTGCATAGTTTTTTAATAGTTGATGCTGTTCATTGGCACTAGCTGTGGTCCTTATCTTTGAGACTTCACTATGTATATAACAAAACGATGTTGTAGGGGACACTAGCTGACTTTGGATTGAGAAACTGTACTGTAATGAGAAAGATACGAAAGTATGAAATGGTCCTTTTTTAGGATCCGAATGGGAAGAAGGATTGCTAAGGTTCAGATGCGGTAAAAAAGGCATAACAGAGTTCATGGGTTGTGTCACTCCATCCAAAGTATTGATTCCAAATGGAGATGTGAAGTTGGTCAGTTGAACACAGATCACTTCAGAGAATGTGAGAAAGAGAGAAAAATTGGCTATTTACGACGAAACAATAAGTTTTGTAGGCATTTTTGTTTGTTACTATGCATATCTGCAACTGCAAGGTCTTAAAGAGCAAAAGCCACAGACGCCCCACTGTATAGATTTGGTCGTTCGGTCCACCGCCTTGAGCAGCTCACTAACCTTTCATCTGACCAAGATTGGACAAACTGGTGCCATGATATCTCCTTTTTCTCTGGAAGTAGCAAGCGGTTGATGGAAAGGCTATATCAGTTGACGAAAACTTTTGTATAGGAAATGGTCAACTTCTTTGTCGATGAGTTCCTATAGCGCCGTATTCACTTTAGCGTCTTCAAACGCTTTTTGTAATGGACTACAGTTTATAAAAGGGGCAGATGGTATTTTCAACAGGCTTCTATGACTTCGGACAAGACTTGCTCGACAGGTTATGTGTTTTTCGAAGTCTTTGACATGCGGAGTAGAATATTTTATAGAGAACACTCAACAAGCATATCGGACGATAGTTGAGAGAATCTCTTCGGCTAGCTTTCTCGGGCCAAATAACCTTGCGCGTCGAGCTGTACTTTTTTGTGATTTTCTTCTCTAAAAGTTAAATTCTGTGTAGATGTAGAGAAATTTGCGTGTTTGTGGTTAAATGCTTGAAGGAAGGCAGAAGTAATGACAGCGGGTCTTGAAGCTGAGCCTTTCTTAATGCATATTGTCGTAGCTCAAACTTCAGAGGGTTAGATTTGGGGCATTTCTTTCGGACGCGGACTCCCACTACCGAAAACGAATTGTAGAATGGAGATATCGTTTTGGAACCTTTTCGCTGTCAGTGATGGTTTGTGGTTAAATGCTATGGTATGATTGTCCTACCTTTGCTGATCAAAATGCTGAGCCGGAACGTTGCAATCGCACAACTCTCAACGGCACCACGTTAGTCTAGATTGACTTTGATCTGCTTCCAACTACTTTCTGTGCTTTTATTAACGTGAACCTTTTCGCAAAGATCTTATATTTTAAAGCTGATATTTGTTGGCACCAATGTCAGTTGTAGTGCAGTAGAGTCAAAATTCACTTCTGTTCTTTTCGAGCAGCTCTTTAGCCTTGATGGAGACGCGGTCTAAACTCCTTGTATGGAAACTAGAGATGAGTTGTGCACAAGTTTTGAACGAGCAACATGGAACCTTTGGTCGAGTCTTTCTTTACCTGCTTGTAATATAAGCGAAAGATTTTGTTAAGGATATTTTCATCATACACGACTTGTTTTGTTAGTTTTAAATGGTGGACACAGTTCTTCTCCAGATTATCGTCAAATAGAAATTTCACACGGATAAGGCGGTAATTCATTTTGATGCAGGAGGATCGCAACACGACGGTATCATATAGGTGCCACCGTATGTTCTTCAAAATGTCTTCGATAGTCGCAAGAGCGTATCGCTGCGCAGCTCGAATGTCCACAAGAGACAAGAGATTTTTGATCGAAATTTAGTGCAAGAAACGCACTATATATAAAAGTTTTGCAAGAGCGACTCTATTCTTTTACAATGGCCTTTTCTACTCTGTCACAAGTATTCTTCCACGTGATTTCTGTGCGGTTGGTCTCTACGTGACATACTTAGTGGAGACCTCATAGAAAGCGGCTCTGAAGAAGGCGAAATTCGCCGAAACGTCAGCTTAATCGTGAACAAAGAACAATAACACCTCGCGTTTGCTCAAAAATACGAACAAAATCACTTGATCAATGCCGAGGTTAATAGAAAGTCGGTCGTGGCAGTTACTGCAGGATGTACCAGCAAGATACTTCCGACTTGTAAAAGAAGCGCTGTCACTGAGACAAAAGATCGTCTTAGCTCGACAGTCAATACACTTTCTCCGCCGCTGTCTAAAACATCAAGTCGTTCCGAACTTCATCAAACGAAGACGACTACACGACGTATGCGGTCTACCAGAGGACAGTCGCCAAGTATTTAGGTGTTGAGTTTCTTCTTAGCTTAGGAGATCCTAATAGAGATAGCCTCACTCCAATACACCGCTGTCGAACATCCAGAAACACTCCCCAGACACGATGAGGCTGTAAACGTTTAGGCGCATTCTCTCTGTAGTGAAAACAAAAAGGTCTGTACATTCATATTAATATACATATCTATTGTTGACATTTTCGTATAGGTGGATGGTTTCGATATGGAATGCAGGATGCTTTCGAACGGTGATGTAACGATCCGGGTTCTCAGTACATTGCAGTGATCATGTATCGCTTAGTTGAAGATTGCCGTGTTACAAGTTCCGGTCTAGCTAGAGAGAGTATTCTCAGCTTTTTCACGCAACTTTCCCGAATTGTTCATAAAATTTTTTGGAACTGTTTGCTCGTGTACTTAATTCGTTGCTGACTGGAAAGCGCTCTTTACTGTTTTGGCATGTTAGAATCTGCATGCGAAAAAAAAACAATGGTAGTATAGAAAACATTCTTCACGAATATTGGAAAGTTCTGTATGTAAAACATTCCAAATACTTTCTCATGGCCTCTTCTCCATGATGGTCTGTTAACCTTATGTCAAACATTTCAAATACTTTCCCCATGACCTCTTTTCCACGACGATCTGATAGTCGTATGTCTAACATTTCGTTGGCGCTTATCTCATAAATGTATCTGCAGTTACTGTCCTAGGCATTGACTATCGCCTCATCAGATTGCAATGCTTGAGAAGTGCTTCCAGCACCCGTCTTTTCCGCCTACTGTGGCCCGATTCCGCCTACCGTAGTCTGACTCCGCTCAGCGCAGAAGGTATATGAACTGCTTCGCAGTTAGCTAGCTTATGTCATAGCAATGCCGCCCAACCCAAGTCACCGTGTCCTTTCTCACATCCATCTCATGTAGTAGAGGTCATATGACAATCCTTCACTCATAAGCAACCTGAACACCAGTGATCAAACTGCGCCTATTCATTACCTGTATCATTGTTGCATTAATTGCATTAGAAATAGCTGAGAGACAAGCGAAACGAAGGACCCGCATGGTGTGGTGGTGAACGCGTTACTCCCCGGAAAGGATAGTAGTGCGTTCGTTCTCCACCATAGACACCTGCGGTCCAGAGTTTTGCAAATATCTCAGCAACGTTGTGGTTGTATTTAGCTTAGTAACCTGCCATGAAAATTATAGAAGGCAGAAAACAAAACGTTAAACATAGTGAACTCAACATACTATTTGTATCCGACGCGAAACGAACAGTAATCTGGAACTCCCACATAACGCCACCTCTTAGATGCGCAAACTAAGCAGCAGCTGAAAACCTTAACTGCTCGATAGAAAGCGATTGCATCTACTATCCAACGGAAACGCAGGCTAATTGCAGATAGGAAGATGTAAAAATCGCATCATGGTTCAACAACGTGCAAAATAGACTGTCGACAATCCTCCCTTCGATATCGAAGGAGAAATCGCTGCAAAAGTTTTCAATATGACAACAGCAGAAATGATTCTCAGCATTCAGAATAAGGAATGAGTCGCCAACCATATGCGACTATAATCAAGCTGTTCTAAACCTTCTCATTGGAAGTCACGAAAAAGCGGCTCTGAAGAAGGCGATACTGCCGAAACGTCAGCTAGTGTTGTATTGTATTGTGTTCTTCTACGGAAGTAAATGTATGCTGTTTAAAAACCTCGCGATTGCTGAACAAGAAAACGACACATTCATATTCCAATGCCGAGGTTAATAGAATGTCGATCCTGGAAACTACTCAGAATAAACTCGAAACCAATATCGTAGTAGATAAAGATATATGTATTGTGGACGATGCCGTACTAGAGGATGTTATCGCCGCCGCAAAGGATTAAAAGCACAGATGCGATGCAAATCATCGAGACCTATCCAAGCAGAAATAGCATGCCCTTCAGCGACCTTCTCAATACCAAGCAACAACGATGGACAACACTCAATACTTCAATTTAGCTTCAGCCACGCCAGAATCGACGAAAAATGTATGGTCACATGCGGATCCGCACCTACTACTTTCGCAATAAGAGGCCTGCTAAAATTCACGAGTGTTGCTAATGGCATACTGGATACGTGGCTGAAAGGTCAGGCAAACAAGGATTTTGAACTCTAATGGCCAGATTTTTGGCATATTGCTGATATATTCATGAATTACTATGAAAGACTTATTGCAGTCTCTGTTCTTGTAATTATAATATTCGTGCTCACTTACGCATGTCTACCTACTTGCACAATCCAAGTTGGATTATGTATGTTGAAAGCACTCAAGCTATTTTTACGAAATATGGGCGGACTAATTTCTCTCATCCGTTTCCCTGTAAAAGATCAACTTCCATGCACAGCAAACTACTGTAAATCGTTAAACATATGGCATGTTCTAAATTTCTATTCAACGTGCTCTGCTATTTCACCTTACTATTCACTACGGTAATTTTGCCATATAACAGTCCCAAATTTCTACTCAAAGTGCTCTACTATTCTACTCTACTACTCACTACCGTATTTTTTCCATATAACACTCCAACAAACAACCAGCAGCAATATCAATACGACCTAGTATATCAACACAATGCTGCACCACAATATTAATAAACAATTCCAGATGTTAAACAAAATAGACAAGGCTACTCAAACTCTACGAGCACGAGCACCACAGAAGGACGCCAGCACACAAACACCAATAAAAGCATTTCTACATGCAGCAACACAAACGGTAACCGGCAACACCGAGCCAACTACCGGCAGCGCAACTCAAACGAGGGTTTTCACCCTACATGACAAGCTAACATCGCGATACAATCACTGCTCCACAAAGTACCAATCCTGTCAACAATGGTGACACAAACGGTTTGACTCTCGGCCGAACATTCATTCCTCGTGCTCTTGCGAGGGGGAGGAAGGGGGGGGGAGGGGGAAGGAATATAGAGAACATTCTTTACGAGTATTGGAATGTTCTCTATGTAAAACATTTCAAATACTTTTTCCATGACGATCTGAT